CAAGTATTGTGGATGAGCTTTACGAAAAATCAGAATAAAATCTTAAAAACTCATTGAATAAAGAATTTGTTACTAATTGTCGTTATAAACCTCAAATATGAGAGTTTTGCCAAAAATTAAATTTTCGCCGTTTTCAAGTTTTTACTTGACCCGTTGCCCTCAAAATATCACAATGTGTAGCTCCAGAAAATATCTTTATCCCATACCATCAAGGAAATTCGTAAAATGAACATCCCCTACCCCTAGAAACTTTTCAGCCATGAAAACTCCGTTATTCTTTCCTTTCTCTGACCCCCCTCACCTCCAGAATTTCCATTGTTCTTAGTGGGTTGGGTATGGATATTTTATGGAACTACACAATGAAAATATTATCTACTGTACATTATGTAACCAATATTAGAAAACCAAGTAAAGCTAGCTTCTTGTCACTTAAATCTTAATGCGCGTGCTCAAGGTTTAAAGTTAATAAATATCTTTTTTTGTGAARCAGCTTTGAAAAAAGAAAAAAGAAACCAAGGCATCCGATCATCAATCCATTGAAGGGTAAGTAAGCTTATTTTTTTAATGATCTCTTGGTGTAAAAGAAGCTGAATCTTTTACTTTTCCAGTTACTTAATTTTGCACATTATTGTTTGATCACAGAGGTTAATGGTGACAGAGCAAGGAACCAAAATAGATATGAAAATAATACTAAGGTAATACTAAAGTAATTCAATATGCTGTTTTCAGAAATTTTTGTGTCTGTAGTATATTGACACAGGATGAAAGTGGATTGAAACTTGTTTATTCTAAACTCAACAACTACACGCCATCTTGGTAACCACTTGGTAACATTCAGCATATACCAATTCAAATGTGTCAGCAGCCTTTCTTCTGAAGATGATATATCTGTCCTCTGCAAAGCTTGCCTTTAACTTGGCATCACTCATGTAAGTCACAAACACCACATCCCCAATCTCTAATTCATGCTGCCCAGCACTCCTATTTTCATCTGCATAGTCCTTCATTTTATCTTGATATCCTTGATAACGTTCTCCCAACTCTATCTCTTCCACTTGCACCGCTGACAGTTTTGTTGTGATTTCACGATTCAACATTAACTTTGCTGGGCTCATGCCTGTACCTGCATGAGGCGTTGATCTGAAAAAAATTCCAGGCAATGCTTCAGTCCACGTTATTCCATGTATTTCTGCAGCTCTCAAGC